GTCACTCTTCTGAATACTGACGATGTTTTCCATTAACAAATACACCTGGAAAAAAATATTTTTCAAATTTTTAGTTTTGGGGGGAAGGGAATGGATATTAGGTATAATATCACACACAATTAATAGTTAGTGTACAAATGTTAAATTGGTTACAGGTTGTAACATGATAGACTATAATAAGGGATTCTTCACATGTAGGATCAGAGTGAATAAAAGATCTGTGCTAGCAATAACCCAAGCCGACTTGCTTGATTTACAAAAACTATCTTAACTTGAGGTCATACCACAGGCCAAACTTGAGCCGGGGGTATGCTAATACTCGTAAAATGTAGTGGTCAAAAAAGTTCTAAAAGTGTACTAATTTCTCCTTCCATGATGCCATAATAAAAGGTACCTGTTGCTGAAACAATCCCTTGTTGATCCGTGCAGGCATGAAGGGCTGATCTATCAAATGATTTGTGTTCAAGTTCAGGTCAATTACAGTATCTGTATTGTTGACTGTGTTCAATTGGCTCAGTGAGACAAGTTTGCATTTTTTTTTTACACATGAGATCTTGAAACTGATTTGTGGTCACATGTATTGTCGGCTGTGATTGTTAAATTGACTTGACACACTGTTGTATTTGTTAAACATGGATTTGGTTGGAGAACAGAAGTATATGTACTTTTGTCTGCAGAAGAAACAGATGTGAGTAATTTCTTTCATTTGCATATGTAGAGAAAATCCTTTAGCAGCAATTTCAATTAGGGAATTTACAGGTACTATATCAGAAGCATTGGGATTCATCTTTTAAAAGGGAAGACCTTTGTTAACTCTGACAATGTTCACTTTGAGTTTTTCAACAGCCTAGGGGTCTAACTTTCTCAATTTCAAAGGCATAAAAGGTAGACAACAAGCCCCTCCTCTTATGACCTGGTGTGTATGCATGACTAAGAAGTGCAGGGAACGTCATTCGCGCGTTGATTTTTCATTTCATTGTTCCATGACATTTCATCCAATTTCCATTTAACTGCCACGACATGGCAACTGCAGCTGCTCCTACCAGCAGGACATAATAAGTCATACGCGGCTAGTCATAAGTTTGGGTTTTCCAACTAAGTTAACAAGCATACGTGCTTTATATTCGACACAATATTTTTTGTAGGAGGAACAACAAAAAGCCATATGGCCTAACGTAAACAACGTCGTTGTCAACAGGTTGTGATACTTCATGATCAAGATCATGTACAACATTTCCTGAATGGCATACGTAGAGAGAGATTTTTTCAGTAATTTTGCCGTAACCCTTAAGGTGATCTAGGGTATCGGTCAGTGGAACAACTCTGACACTGGAGTTGGGCCTGGTGAAGCCTTTGCCTGGGTCAGGATCATAAACTTTATCTCTATTTTCAGACATAACATTAAGGTTCTTGACTCTGTGGGCCAGGAAACAAGTGAATTTATCGTATCTTTCGGTCGGTTAGTAAAGTTATAAAATCATTTCACCTTAAACTTAACTTTCGTAAAGGACTTTCTTGTTACCGCCTTGGTTTATTCTTCTACATTTTTACCAGAATTTTACCTGGTTTGCTTTTAACCTGCAAATTTTTAAGGTCCCGTTCTATCCTCGGGTGTAAATTTGACAACTTCAATATTTACTGGCTCCATCTTGAAACTTTTTTCGACAACCATTTGTTTTTACCGCCAGGCGCCGCTTCCATGCAACTTCCGGTTTTTTCCTGAATCGGCGTATTCAAAGATATGTTTCAGAAAAATAACCAAGCTTTTGACCGGGCAAAACAAACCACCCTTAACGATATATGCCCAACAAAGCCAACAAAACTAGTCTGCGAAGTAGGACGTAAAACATATGGGTCACATATGTTTTCTTACCTCGATTTTCGCTTTCATATTGTCATAAAAGTACTTCTGCCTTCGAAATCCATCGCTAAAGGAAGTAACTATTAACAAAATTACAAACCTTGTATACGCTTAGTGAGGAATAATATTTTAATGAAAAAATAAACTAATGGTAAAAATAGCAATAATATAGCCTGCGAATGCAGCCGTTCTCTCCTTGTTCCTTGCCACGAGAGACGTTTTGCCAGGAGGAACGTTTACGCCTCGGCGACAGAATTTTCATACTGATGACGTAAATAAATGTCTAAATTTGAATGATGGTATGATCGTGGCAGTGGTAATTGCAATTTAAGCAACTGCAAATTAACCCGAAAAAAATTTCGGGACTTAAACGTGATTCCAACCCATGGCCTCTACGTTAGCGCCGCAGTGCTCTACCAATTGAGCTATGAAGACCCATACACTGAGGGCAGGCCAATTTTTTCCGCGCTCATCTAAAAACGTGAAAGAAATGAAACATGAAGATTATGTAAGTAGCGGAAATACAAAGTTAAATGAAGGTATGATCGTCGCAGTGGTAATTGTTCGCATGACAAATCAAGTAGTCATGGGGTTCCAAATGTAAATTTGTTTGATTTTATGTCTCTCCTGGTCTATTGTGGTAATGTTTTGTGTTTTACTGCGAACAAGCTCCAGCAAAATTCAAATTCTTTTTCTAACGAAGAACATGTTCCAGGAATATTGACTGTTTTGTAGTAGATTCATCTCGTTTTATCATTTACATTTGGCCTTTGTGGCGTTTTTTCTTTTGTCTGTCATTTGTAAACAATAGATAAAACAATATAAATACTGTGTCGACCAATCAGACCTCCTGACCAGATTCCGGACAGATGTTAAGTCATCAGTATGGAATTTCTGAGGATGCTCAACAAATTCTTGGGAGTCGTCGAAGGCTTTCAGTCTGACCATCAGCCTCAGCAAAACCGAGGCACTGTACCGGCCTACTCCAAACACCACATCCGTGGAGCCAAACAGCAGTATCGATGACACGCCGTTGGCAAATGTCGACAACTTCAAGTACCTGGACTGGACAGCATCATCTTAAACGAAGGATCCCTGATAAAGAAGTCACGTCCAGGATCAGCAAAGCAAGCCAAGCCCTAGGGAGGCTCCGCAAAAAGGTTCTCAATCACCATAACATTTGCCTCTCTACGAAGGGGAAAGTCTTTCCAGAGCTATAGTCTTGACCGCTCTGCAGGGTGAATGCGAGACTTGGACACGGTACCGAAGGCGTGTCAAACAACTAGAGACCTTTCACATGCGTGCCTTCGTTCCATTTTTGGCATGCGCTGGCAAGACCGCATCACAAACCTCGAGGTCCTGGACCGTGCACAGTGTATCAGCATTCAGACCTTACTCATCAAGGCCCAGCTGCGATGGGTGGGACAAATCATCAGAATGGACGATCCTCGCATGCCCCGTCAACTGCTGTATGGAGAGCTTGCGCGCGTTACAAGAACACTGTGAAGGGGAACCTTTAGTGGTGGGGCATCCAGCTGAAAGAACTTGAGGCTGCAGACAGTGACAGAAGTAAATGGTGCTCACCGACCCCCACTGTTCCCACCAGTTTCGAGGACGACCGCCCTCACAGACTCATGGCAGTAGCCTATGAACGATGCCAAAGAGCATTCTCTGCTGATATCACAAAAACGGAGCTCCAACGCCCCAACTGCTACACGTAACTCTGCGCTTCCAGTCTGGGTTTGCAGAGACACCAGAGCATCCTTGGATGATCACACAACACGCAGTCCACAACACACAGTCTTCTTCGCACAAGATGGACAACCACCAAACAAGTACGTTTAAACGAGGAGTTCCGTCGAAAGTTGCGCCACGTTTTATCGTCGCGCACTTCTTTCGCTAGCAAAAGAAAATAAGTAATGTGACCTCTCTAGAACTTCAATGTAAACGCAACAAAATGACACTTTTCCAAGAACATGGATCGGAAATAATGGTGTATATTGTTCTATATTTTATTTTATTAGCTCCTTTAGGCACTTTATATAGAGTGGTTGTATGCAAGCTACTGGTTTAACCAAGTCCTCTTGTTTGTGTTAGATTCAACAGTCTTTCCACAGTTGTCGATGTTCTTCTGCCACGAGGCGCTGATCCCTCCCTGAGAGGGAAAAATGGTAACACCCCACTTCACTTAGCAGCGCGTGGAGGACATGAAGAGATCGTTAAAGTTCTTTTGGACCAACCTTCCGTTGAGGTTGACGCTAAAGATAATTCTGGAAAAACTGCTCTGCATTTTGCCTGCAGCGAAGGTCACAGAAAGGTTTGTCAAATCTTGTTGAACTTCGGAGCGGACGTAAAAGCGATTTCAGCGGACAAGACAACTCCTCTTCATAGTGCCATTTTGAATGGACATTCAGAGGTTGCGAGGGTGATTTTGAAGCGAGGTTAGAGTTTATTGATTAACAGTATCTATTATTTATTGAACGATCCCCTTTGGGTCATTAAATTTAGGTCTTCTTAACGAGTTAGTCATATAAATCTGGAAGCGTCTAACTGTGATACAAGTCTTCTGTGAAATTCTGGTGATGACAGATAAATACCGACTGTTAATTTGCTGGATATCACACATTTCATTTAAACGTTCAATTATGCACTACTAACAACTTTATGTACAAATTGCCTCATTGTATCTACCTGCTTAAGTGGCGGTATGAGAATAGGTTAGTGCTTTATCCGCCGCGCGTACACTGTAGCTAGCCATGACGTTTTTCGGCTGCATGCTGCGGGATCGCAGTTTGACTCGTCCCCATTTCTCTCCCTGCTTTATAGCCCCCCCCCCCCCGAAAACAGCAGTGGCACTCATAGAAAGAAGCAGTCACGCAGATAAATCTCGCCACCTTCCTAGGCTAATATAAATATAGTGAGATTGTGCAGAGGACAGCGCCTGGGGACTAGATTCCTAAGGATCGTCTTTGGTCGTAATAATGGGGTGATTGTATGGCGAAGGTGCATTATGTATGTGAATTCTCCCCTTAACTTGCTGTCATTGTTGTTGTACTTTACAGCTGCCGACAGAGATGTAGATACTAACGAGAAAGAACTTTTGGGAACTCGTGACTTACAGGACAACACAGTCTTACACATGGCTACAGGGAATAATGACGTCAAGACTGCTGAGTTATGCCTTGAGAAAGGCGCTGATGTCGACTGTCTTAAGTGTGGCTCGGTCACCGCCCTTCACATGGCGGCAACGAAGGAAAATCTTGAGGTAGCAGGCTTGCTTATTTCAAGAGGTGCTGATGTAAACAAGAAAGACGGGGACTCCAAAACACCTCTGCACAGGTTAATTTAATTTGCATTTAATAATGCTTGTTCAGACTAAGCAATACTGAGTACTTTAAGTGTTGAATGGACGTTCCATAGAATTTTGCCCACAGTCTAGAAAAATGCTAGACTAAAACATATTGGTAACGTTGTTGGTGACTTAAATGTTTGTCATGTAGTCGCATGTGGAACAAAACGAACAAACGCAAATTTCACCTCTAGGTCTCAAGAAAATGATTATTTAATCACTTAAGAACATTCTTGTTTCCAGATGCATGTCGGTTCGCTCGTCAATGTTCCTAGTTTTGCGGGACCTTAAAAGTATCTCCATGTTGTCTTCTTAATTACCACTCTGGAAGTGAAAAAGAAGAAAAACAGCGTTTCTCAAATTTTAAGCTACTGAATCACTTACCTAACCGTTGCTTGTCGTTCCCATGTAGGGCCGCTATGTTTAACCAGTTAAACGTAATTGAATTTCTTGTGCAAAAGGAGGCAAAAATTAATGCTCGTGACAGTGAAGGACGTTCTCCGTTCTTGAATGCTGTTGCTGCTGGGTACGTGGACTGCGCCCGAGTTCTTCTCAAACCTGGAGCTGATTTGAGCGCAGCGGACTTGCATATGAAAAACTGTCTTCATATTGCGGTAGAGAACGAGCTCTTAGAGATGCTATCAATGCTTTTGGAAAGTCGTGCGGGGGTACGCTGTTTAAACAGAAGAGATTTGAAGGATAGAGTCCCTCTGCATTACGCGGCGAAGACGAGAGACATCAAGGTAACTTTGTAACGGAACTGTTAGAAAGTAATTCAACAGCACTTTTTATCAAAGGCAGAAAACTTGACATGACGGCACCTTCACATAGAAGTGACTATAATAAAGTCGAGCCTCTATAAAGGGGCATCTATTTCCTCTCCATTTACCTTAGTCCGGGCGGAGAAAAGTTTAAGTAAATCACTTTAAACAGTATCCCTATAAAGCAGCCTCCTGTTCTTTTTTCGAGGTTAACCGCTTAATAGAGATATCTCAAATAGAGGTTCGCCGTACTTTGTTAAAGGCAGAACGCGATATTCGTTCAAAAGAATTCTTTTCCCGGCTCACTGGTTAGTTAAGTCACAGCTATCTCCCAAATGTACACCTTCTCGACATCAGGGTAGGTAGTCATTTGCAACTGGTGGTGGCTGACGGGAATGCCATGTATGTGATAGGGAGCCTACATCAATTATTTTCTAAGACGGACATTGTTAGGAATGAATAACGGCATGGATCATCTTTACAGCTTCAAGGTGTCCACTGAGGAAGAGTTAATGTATTTTAAAACAGTCAAACTTACTCTCTTTCAAGTGGCCTCCCTTGAAGAAGGAACAAGTGTCCTCTTTATTAGGTGTTTTGTGTTAAGTGATGTACTGACAAGTTTGTCCGCCGATACTCTCGGAACTTACCGATAGATGGCAGCTTGACCCTTTAAGCCCTAGTATCAACATGCGTAATCTCTGCACTTCTTTTTATACATTCTTATGGTACTGCTCGAGAAAATTTGTTCAAACATCAAGATATTTTATCTGTTGTGATTATTTCGTTCATTCTCGTGACCTGTAGTGTTGTTGTTGGGAGAAATTGGAAGCTGGTCACTATTGGAGCTTGAAGAATTAATGAGAGGCCTTTTAATAGAGATTCGGCTGTAGTGTAGAGATCAATAAATGACACTGACCCTGTTGTTTGTAGATTTTAGAGCTCGTCTTATCCAAGCAGAAGAACGTGCGCTTCAACGATGAGAGTAACAAGACACCACTTCACCTTGCAGCAGAAAAGGCCTCACCCAAACACGTTGAAGCTCTAGCAAAGCGCATGTCTGAAATAAATGCGCGAGACGATCTTGGCCGAACACCATTGCACAGGGCTGCAAGGAAAGGGCAGAGGCAAGAGATATATTCTAGAATATTCTGTTTCTTTTCTTCACAGGTATCGCTGTTTTTCCATTATTGGTGAAAGCGATCTTTGCTACTTCTTGGCAAAAGCCACCGATTTGTAACAGACCTACAATCCATCTTTCCTGACCCCACAATCGGCTGTGTAAGACAAAACTACTTCAACTAAACACTCACAAAGCGCTTTTATGCTTGTACACAATATTCGTATGACACGAGCGCACGACATACCAGAAATTTGTCTGTCAACATGCAACTTCAGGAAATCATACAATTAACCACGTTCGCGGCACTGATAAAACTATCCACAACCAACCAAGCACAATGTTTCCACACTAAATACGGGCGAAATATCATCAAACTACTCTCTCTCGATAACTCTCGCTTTCTCCACATGAATCATTACATTTAAAAGGTGTTTCGATACAGTTTTTCAGAAGCCATACCGATATTTTTCAATCGCCTTTAAAAGTGTTTTTTTCCTTGTCTGATCGCTATAAAATTTTCACCAGTAATTGGCTATGGATCGAAATTTGTGGAAATGTAGTTTTAAGTTAAAATCGATATTACTATGACAACAATAAACAAAAAAGTTTGAAATTGATTAAAGCCGAATTTTGTGTGATCTAGACCAGCTACTGAAAATCCAACACTAGGAACTTAAAGTTTGGTGTTTAGCAAACAATCTTCGAAAGAAGTAAAATTCGACTAAAACGAAAATATATTTCAAACCTTAAATTTTCAATAGCCGTGATAGACTTTTTTAAAAAAAAACGTTATAAATGACTCAAATTATTCTTAAGTGGCGTCAGAATGCTGTTTAATATCATATTTTGATGCTAGGAATTTTGGCGTATTTTCGTTCGCGCGATCTTAAAAACTAACCCGTTTTCTCACCAACTGTCTAAGTGTAGCTTCATTCAAAATTTGGACTTTTAGCGCTTTTTTGTATATCTCTAAAACGACTTGAACGAATTTTTTTTAAATCTCTTCACATAATCTCCATAATGTATATAATAATGTCTGAAACTTTCATTAAGATTGATTCACTATAACACCTTGAAATTTCAAGACAAAACTATCCTACGAACCGGTCAAAAATCTGCGCTACAGCAGTCACTGTTTTGACGTTATGATAATTTTTCCAAATTTATGCGGACAATACATATATCCATGACTAATACATTTCAGGGTGAGTATTGTCAATGTTTTACATTCAAAAGATGCGATAAATTCAAACTAAAATGTACTAGTCATGGAGATATGTATAGCGCACATTATTTTGGAAAAATTAGCTGAACGTCAAAACAGTGAATGTTGTAACGCAGATTTTTGACCGGTTCGTAGGATACGTTTGTCTTGAAATTTCATGGTGTTGCAGTGAATCGATCTTAATGAAAGTTTCAGACATTTTTATATACATTATGAAGATTACGAATTCAAACATACAGAATTTTTGCTAAACACGAAACTTTAGGTTCCTAGAGTTGAATTTTCAGCAGCAGGTCTAGATCGCGCAAAATTAGGCATTTATCAAGTTCAAAGTTTTTTGTTTATTGTTGTCATAGTAATATCGATTCTACTAAAACCTACATTTTGACAAATTTCAATCTATAGTCAATCGTTGGTGAAAGTGTTATAGCGATTAGACAAGGATAAAAACACTTTTAAAGGCGATTGAAAAATATCGTATGGCCTCTGAAAAACTATATCGAAACACTGCCGACACAGGCGATTTATTCAAGATCCCGGATGTAGAACAGCCGTTTTGAAAGGGATACATAGAGGCCGGCCTTCAAAACAATTTTTAACTACGTCTCTGGCATGGTCAGAAATCACCTTCAATTTTGCTCGCGCCGAATAGATTTGACTCCTACAAACTACTTTTTGAGGCCAGAGACTCGTCACCGCCAAATCAAAGCTCGCAATATGCTGCCTTTCCGTCTCAAGCCCGAGATCGTTGTTTCACCCGTTTAGCCAAAATGAGACGAAATGTGGTAACGTGTTGGACGACGGTAGACTTTGCCAATCGTGAGAGTTGTTTCTTCATAAGGCTTAATGATGCTTTCCGGAAAACTTTGTTGCAGGCGGCCCAAAAAGAAATCTAGAAAATTAACCGACGACAGAAAACACTTTCTACCGCAAGCGCTGATTGCAAATGTCAGAGTGTTTTATGACAAGTAGAGAATTATGGGAAATGGTAGGTAGGGGAGAGGTGGGGGAGGGGTAGGGAAGAGGTAAAAGGCATATTTGACTCATGTTTTTTGATCTACTGCAGCTTGTTAGGGGATTTTTGTAGTGAAAATATCATTTTAAAAAAAATGTCAAGTACTGAAGAAGCCTCAAATGAGAATGTTGCTAAAAAGTCCTGAAGGTACCTTTTTACAATTCCAGACAAATAAAATCGACTGCGACTGCCGAATAGGCAAGTGTTATGTTTTGACTGCCCCCTGAAATACCACGTAACATTGCTTTTATTCCATCAATCCTAAAGCGCTTGAAAAGATGGCGGGTATCGGGAATAAGGTCTATTCCGTGAGTCGATTGCAGTTCCATCCGTTACTTAATTTTATTTACCATTTGCATATCCCCCATTATACACTTTGCTTACCCCCCGCCAAAAAAAAAATGCATGAACGTATTGCGGTCGTCCCAATTGAAGACAATGCTTATTCAATATGCATTTTTTAAGCGGTGGGGGGGAGGGGACAAGGTGTGTTATGGGAGATTGCAAATGGCGAATAAGAGAATCCAATGCATTTTTAACAGTGAAGGTAAGTATCGCATATTGTTTTAACAAGCTACCTGCATTGCTTTCCTTTGCAATAGGAAATCCTGTCAGGTGCTTCTTAGCATGGGGAGCTGAGGTCGATAGCAGGGATAACAAGTTTCGAACACCTCTAATGTGGGCTTCTCATGGAAACCACACAAAATGTGCGGTTATTCTTCTTGACTCCAAAGCTTCTGTTGACCTACAGGATGTCGGTGGTGATACTGCTTTGCATGTAGCGTGTGGTCAGGGTCATCCAGCTATTGTGAAGTTACTGTTGGACCATGGTGCATCCTCAGCATTGAGGAATAAACAAGGTCTTGCTTGTTTAGAAGTTGCCGCGAAAGCAGGATCGTGTGATGCCGCCATGGCGATTGCCAAACACGAAAGGTTAGCAGAGTACAATACAATACAATGCCCTTTATTTAACGTGGTCAATTTTCTTAGCTAATCAGCTACTTTACAGACATGCCACAAAAAATAAATAAATAAATAAACTAGAAATAATAATAGAAAGAGACGATTTCTCAAGAAAACCTATATAAAAAATGTATATACAGTTAAAAATTATTAAAACTAAGAGTAGATCACGACATTATTACATAATGATGTGAAAACTAAGCAAAATGTATTTAAATGTATTTGGGCGATTAAAATGTAAAATTTGAAAAATCCAACTTAGACATTAAGTTCTTAAATGTTCCGATTTTATTAGCGGCACGAAACTGATCCGGAAGAGCGTTCCAAATCTTAGCTGCAGTATAACGCCACGATTTAAGTCCATAGGTGGTTGTATTTACTTTGGGTAGCTCGAGGATGTGTTTTCCTCTAAGATTATAAATGCAATAGCTCTCCTATCCCTCTGGGGACTTTATACCCATGGATAGCTTTGTAAACACCGATGGCCATTTTAACAATTCTTTGATTAAGTGGGGACATTATTTGGGGACAGCAAGTTTAGTTGTTTTAGCAACGTCTCGTTCGTGGTAGACTTGTCACGGGTCACAAAGTGAAGAGCTCGTTCATTGATTTTTTCAAGTTTGGCGCAACCTCTTTCACTACAGTGATGCCACGACTCTGGGCAGTAATTGAAATGCGGTGCAATGAAAGCACGATATATATCTATCCTCAATTCAAAAGGTAATATTTTCTTCAAACGATTGAGAACAGCAACCTGTTGACTAACTGTACGACAGATTTTACGAATCTATCCCTCAAACTTAAGCTTGTTATCGATAGTGACGCCGAGGAGTTCCATTTCGTCTTGAATAGGGATAACGGTTCCTTCACTGGTCAACACTGGATTTCTCTCGACCCTTTCAAAAGTAATTGCTTGATATTTTGAATGATTTCTTTTGTGCCCCTCTCCTCTCCTTCCAATATACAATGTAATTCAATTTAAGTGTTGTAATTTCTATTTTACGCGTTTATTTCCTTTGTAAATCTTTATCTGTTACTATATTATTTTTCTCAGTTATATTTACATAACTATGTATCAGCTAGGAATTGGAGGAATAAATAAAATAAAAAAATAAATAAAATGATTTCTTTTCATTTGATTGAATTCAAACCACTCATCGACCTTTTTCAGATCGGCATTTATGGCATGTTCAACCTGGTCGATATCTTCCCCAGACTTAAACAATTGAGTGTCGTCGGCATACGTGAATAATGTGCATTCGTCTATAGCATAAGGCAGGTCATTCATGAAAATATTAAAGAGAATGGGACCCAAAATTGATCCCTTGGGGACACCCTTCATTACGGTTTTCATAGAAGAGTGTTGTCCACTCAATCTGACACGTTGCTGTCTGGCGCTTAAATAATTCGTAACAAGATTGATAACTTTTGAGTCTCCACCGTAATCTTCAAGCTTTTTGACAATAAGGTCATGGGGAAGGGTGTCAAATGCTTTTGAGAGATCCATAGACACCAGACTAATAAGTTTGTGATTATCTAATTCTTTCTTGAATTGTTCAGTTAGACTAAGGATAGCTGTGTCGCACCCATGATAATCTCTTTATGCAAAGACATTGTTATGATAAATATCTTCAAAGTGTGAAGCAAGTCTTGAGTGAACGAGTTTTTCAAAAACTTTGGATAAGACCGGCAGGATTGTTATAGGGCGATAGTTTGACTTTGTTAACGTACAGTCTTTCTTGTGGACCGGCACAATTTCACCTAGTGTCCATCTCGAAGGCACTTTTCCCCTTTCAAATAGAAAATTCACTAAACAGCTGAAAGGCTGACACAGAATTTCAGCGGATTCTTTGACAGCTCGAGCTGGAATTTAATCATGTCCAGTAGCTTTGTTTGTCTTAAGATTTTTTATAATTCTCTTCACTTCACCTGGGCTTGTGTTTGTTAAGGTGAAGGGCGGGATTGATGAGCTTTTATTGTCTGGTATGACTTCGGAGGCAATTGATTGAAGTCAGGGTGCTGAGAACTTGAAAACATTCTGCCAGAACCTCGGCGACTTTCTTTTGTTCTCTAATGAAACCACCATTGTCTTTCAAAACAATAGGCTCATTGTGGAAAGACTGTTTTTTCCTGGATGAAATATACGGTCTTATTGTGTTCCAAAACTTCTTTTGATCTGAATGTTTATCATCGCAGATTCTCGAAAAGTGATCCGGCTTACTCTTTTCCTCCTCATGCTAACAAGTCTGTTTCTTAGTTGGCGGTATTTTTCCCAGTCTTCAGGCTTTCTGGACTTGTTGAACTGCCTTTTAGAGCGATTACGTTCTCTCATCACTTCCCGTAATTCAGGGTTTATAAATTGAAATTGATCGCGATGTTGTCGGCGAAACGATTTAACTGGAGCATGGTCATTCAGATCTTCAACGAACAATTTTTCGCAAGTCCAATATACATCTTCAGGGTCATCAAAGACGTAAGCCGTCGAAAAAGGAATCAAACTAAGGTAGCTACAAAAAGAGCCTTCATCAAAATTCTTGAAAGAGCGCACTCGGATAATTTCGGGTTTAGGTTGCGGTATTTTCTTATTTTGAACTGTTAAAGTATAAACTAGGCAATGATCACTGAGGCCAACCTCCAAAGTTCCTGTTTCTCTGAAATGACCTGAAACATTCGTCAGGATAACATCTAAGCATGAAGAACACTGAGGAGATATTCTTGTGGGTGAATTATTTAAAGAATCCAGATCATAAATGTCATAAATGTCCAGCAGACATCTTAATGTCAGTAATAATTAGCTTAAGCCAACTCAATAACAATTGCAAATATATTATCTCACCTTTAATTTTGTAATACCTGCCTGAAACCCCCCACCCCAAACAAACAAAGAAATAGGTTTGAAGCCCCGGAAAGATCCTTTCCACAAAAGTGGTGGAAAGGATACTCGTAACTTAACAGTTGGTAATCCAAAGGAGTTTTCGAAAGGACAATAAAATAATTAGAAATACACGACACAAAAAAGGATCGCTATTTTCATTTCGATTCCTGACATGAAAGCGCCGAGTTTTTCATTTGGTTGGTTTTTTTGCCTCTCGATGAAAAGAAGCGACCTCCATTCTTTGCGCCAGTATACAGATAGAAAATCATGTTTGCCAAGTCAGGACTGTTGGAGAGTCCACGTTATGTAATACTCCTAATTAAATAATTTATAATGGTGCCTATGAATACATCGTAATATATACATTGTGGGGAGGGAGGGAGGAAATGTCGAATGTCAAGTCATTTTATTTGTTTTTACCTGCAATTTTAAAGGTGGAAGGAATTTGAACAGTATCAAATGTCAAACGGTCAAACAGCAATCTCACTCCTGGTTGAAAACTTCCCAGAAGCAGCTGAAGCTGTTCTTAATCAGTGCGTAAGTTCCTCGGACCATCTCAACCCAGCCGACCCAGACTACGCTGTAACGTATGACTTCAAGCACCTAGATCCTGGTCCAGATGCTGACATGTCGAGTGGAAGGTTTTCCACTGTTCAGATGATGATAAAGCACAAGCGCGAACGACTTCTTCTTCATCCTCTTACGCTGAAATTTAATGAACGAAAGTGGCAGCGTTTAGGAAGATATGTCTTCTTATTCGACTTTGTTACTTATCTCTTGCTTATGGTGTTCTTTACTGTATTTATAGTCATCGATAGGAGAGACCAGACCTTCAGTGAACCACTAAAGCAAAAACTGTCAACTTTGTACAACGACAACGACGACCCCTTCAAAGGAACTATTCCATTTTTGATCTTGACTTTCTCCTTGCTGCACATAGGTAAAGAACTGTTCCAAATCTACGTTCAGCGTTGGAGCTACTTCAAGGACCTGTCTAATTACCTGAACTGGACTTTGTATATCACTGCAGCCTTGTTTATGGTCCCCTATGTCACAAGCCAAGACGTCCTCAACAAGATTTTAGTTTTTGCCGGTACCAAGTATTCCCTAGTACTTTGGAATATTGGAGTTATTGCAATCTTCCTGTGCTACACCAACATGATGCTGTTTCTCAGAAGATATCGCTTGTTTGGCACTTACATCTCAATGTATATCGAAGTGACGAAGACTGTATTCCAAGTTATGGTTGTGTTTATTTTCCTGCTTCTGGGATTTGCATTGGCTTTTTACGTCCTCTTTAAAGAACAGGCAAGTTAGTTCTCAGGTATTGCTTGCTAATCAGTTAATCTTGCGAGGAAAAACAAGAATTGTGTAATTAGTTGATTTAACTATTAAAAAAAGATAAGAAAGAAACCTGGGGTATTGGGATCCTGACAAAATGCCCCTTTTCCTTAATAGAGATTTCCCTTCAATAGAAGTTGATACAGAAGCAGATACAAAGATTACATGAACATTACATGAATTTTCAGTGCACGTGAAGAACAAACTTATTAAAGCTAACAAATCCCTACATATCCTTAGAACGCTGCGCAAAGAAGGGTACAATCAGTCAGAAATAGACCTTCTCTTTAATACTATAGTTCTACCTAATATTAATTACGCATTATCTGTCTACGCCGCGTCCGAGTCCGATCTTACACCCGTACAATGTTTCTTAGACCGCTGTTTTAAAAGGAAAAATACGTCTAAGCCTGTAAGTGTTTATG